CTGCTGCCTAGTCATTCGGTCCCTACTCTGTAGCAGTACATAGGATTCTTCCGTCCTAAGTGCAGGATTCTGCACTTGTCCTTGTTGAACCTCATCGGATTTCTTTTGGCCCAATCCTCCAATTTTTCTAGGCCCCTCTGTATCCTATCCCTACCCTCCAGTGTATCTACCTCTCCCCACAGCTTAGTGTCATCTGCAAACCTGCTAAGGGTGCAGTCCACGCCATCCTCCAGATCATTAATGAAGATATTGAACAAAAACTGCCCGAGGACCAACCCTTGGGGCACTCCACTTGATACCAGCTGCCAACTAGACATGGAGCCATTGATCACTACCCGTTGAGCCTGACAATCTAGCCAGCTTTCTATCCACTTTATAGTCCATTCATCCAGCCCATACTTCTTTAACTTGCTAGCAAGAATAATGTGGGAGACCGTGTCAAAAGCTTTGCTAAAGTCAAGGAACAACACGTCCACTGCTTTCCCCTCATCCACAGAGCCAGTTATCTCGTCATAGAAGGCAATTAGGTTAGTCAGGCATGACTTTCCCTTGGTGAATCCATGCTGACTGTTCCTGATCACTTTCCTCTCCTCTAAGTGCTTCAGAATTGATTCCTTGAGGACCTGCTCCATGATTTTTCCAGGGACTGAGGTGAGGCTGACTGGCCTGTAGTTCCCAGGATCCTCCTTCTTCCCCTTTTCAAAGATGGGCACTACATTAGCCTTTTTCCAGTCATCCGGGACCTCCCCCAGTCACCATGAGTTTTCAAAGATAATGGCCAATGGCTCTGCAATCACATCCGCCGACTCCTTTAGCACCCTCAGATGAAGCGCAGCCAGCCCCATGGACTTGTGCTCGTCCATTTTTTCTAAATAGTCCCTAACCACTTCTTTCTCCACAGAGGGCTGGTCACCTCCTCCCCATGCTGTGCTGCCCAGTGCAGTAGTCTGGGAGCTGACCTTGTTCGTGAAGACAGAGGCAAAAAAAGCAGTGACTACATTAGCTTTTTCCACATCCTCTGTCACTAGGTTGCCTCTCTCATTCAGTAAGGGGCCCACACTTTCCTTGACTTTCTTCTTGTTGCTACCATACCTGAAGAAACCCTTCTTGTTACTCTTCACATCTCTTGCTACCTGCAACTCCAGGTGTGATTTGGCCTTCCTGATTTCACTCCTGCAAGGCCAAGCAATCTTTTTATACTCTTCCCTGGTCATTTGTCCAATCTTCCACTTCTTGTAAGCTTCTTTTTTGTGTTTAAGCTCAGCCGTTAAGATCAGTAGTTGCTGTTTAACAGCCTCCTGAGTTACTGGTGAAATAGAAAGAGTGTTATCATATGATCTGACTACATCATCTGGTTTTTTTTGTAAATACAAAACAGAAATACTTCTTGAACAATTCCGCCTTTTCTGCATTATTATTGAGAATTCTACCATTTCCATTTAGAAGAAAGAGAAGAATTTCTATGCATTGCTATTCATTGGCATCAACATCTCCATTTTTCCATTTGTTATTGTGACAGGCTCCGTCACAGAGACCCCCTTGGGACAGTTACCTGATGTGCTGAAGTTACCTCTGAGCCCATTTTCCCTGCCAGTTTGGGACTCCAGAACCCTGCCTTGTTGAGCCAGACATGCTAGCCTGCTGCAACACAGACCCAGGGTCTGAACCATGCCCCCAGAGCTGCAGATTTTAACTAAAAACAGCTCAGCAGGTAACCTTTCTTCAACATCCAGACACCCATCTCCCAATGGGATCCAAACCCCAAATAAATCCGTTTTACTCTGTATAAAGATTATACAGGGTAAACTCATAAATTGTCCACCCTCTATAACACTGATAGAGAGCAATGCACAGCTGTTTGCTCCCCCAGATATCAATCACTTACTCTGGGTTAATTAATAAACAAAAGTGATTTTATTAAGTATAAAAAGTAGGATTTAAGTAGTTCCAAGTAATAACAGACAGAACAAAGTAATTTACCAAGCAAAATAAAACAAATATGCAAGTCTAAGCTTAATACGTTAAGAAACTGAATACAGGGAAATCTCACCCTCAGAGATGTTCCAATAAGCTTCTTTCACAGACTGGACTCCTTCCTAGTCTGGGCCCAATCCTGTCCCCTAGTACAGTTCTTGTTAGCTCCAGCTCAGGTGGTAACTAGGTGATTTCTCATGACTTGCAGCCCCCTTTGTTCTGTTCCACCCCCTTTTATAGCTTTGGCCCAAGGTTGGAATCTTTTGTCTCTCTGGGTCCCCATGCCTCTTTCTAAATGGAAAAGCACCAGGTTTAAGATGGATTCCAATATCATGTGACATGGTCACATGTCACTGTAAGACCTCATTCTTCATTACCCACCTCACCACACAGGAAGGCTTGCAGGTAAATAAACCCATTCACAACCAATTTTCCTAGTCAATGGAAGCCATCAAACTTTCAAATCACCATTAATGACCCACACTTTCCATAATTATAATAGGACTTCAGAGTTATACTTCATATTTCTAGCTTCAGATACAAGAATGATACATACATACAAATAGGATGAACACACTCAGTAAATTATAAGCTTTGTAATGATACCTTACAAGAGACCTTTTGCATAAAGCATATTCCAATTACATTATATTCACTCATTAGTATATTTCCATAAAACACATGGAATGCAAGTCAGTTATGTATAAGGGGTTTTATTAATAAATACTATTAATAATAATAATAATTAATTAATTAAATATAGCTGCCTTCACCTCCCCTCTAAGGCTGCTGGTTTTTGAGGTACAGTGACGTTCTTTCTCAATTTGGGGATCGTGGCATTTTGGACAGCTAGTAAAGTGTTCTTAAACAATTCCCAATAATCACTCATAGTTTTCTGATTAAATTCTTCCTCCCAGCAGATTTACCTCATAATTTTTTTAATCTTTTTGAAATTGCCCGTTTTAAAGCATCAAGTATGTATATCCCTGGACTTCATTCTGTTTGCACATTATAAATGTGATCAAGTACTGATCACTTGCACCTAAGTTAGCATTAATTTTTAGTTCTGTGATCAGTTCCTCTTTCTCTGTCAAGATGAGGTTTAATGCAATATTCCCCCATGTTGGATAAAACGCTTGTTATAATTTACATGTTTTCTGTATAGGGAAAATTTTTAGTACATCCTAGTTTTTTTTTTTTTAGTACATCCCAGTTCTTCACCAGATTATTTTGTTTGTATGGAGTGTCCCCATCCCCTACTCTTCATCTGTTTGTGCCATAAGAACATAACTGTAAGCCATTTTGGGCAGGGATAGTGTCTTTTCTGTGTTTGAACACTGCTCAGAATGATGGAGTCCCAACTGGAGGTTTCATATGTTACAAAAATAATAATCCATATAGAGATGTGATTGTGACATTGCACCCCATAATGCTTTATAGAAATATGCTTTTGGGTGTAAATATGATATAACTGGAATATGTTTTATGCTAGATATGCCATGCAACATATCTCTGCAAAGGTTCTGATCTACTGGATATATTCATCCAACTTGCAGGGATGTACCATTTTTGTATTTGAAGTTATGAATATTGGCTATGTACTTGTTTGATTTTAAGTAGCCTCAGTGAAGCAGTTGGTCAGGTTCTTGAGAAAAGTCTATTCTCAGTAAGTGCCCAATCAAGAAACACTTAAGCTAACAATGAACTTTGAGAGACACCAATCCACATCTGAGCTTTCCTGGGAATGTAGCTCAGCCTGTAAAATTCTGAATCATGCATGGACATGGGACTTGCCCATGTGACTCCAAAACTCAATCTTGCAGCTGGATTCTGCATAAGAGAGGGGAAGAGGTTTCCACCCACAAGAGAGAATCTATTTAAGCCCCTAGAAACCCCTCCATTTTGTCTTCAGATGGCTCAGGAGGTAGCCTCTCCACCCCCAAAGGAAACCTGAAAGAAACTGGAACAAAGGACAGTAACTACAGGGTGTGAGTTATTGCTGGACCCAGACTAGAAGGAGAATAGTCTGTAAAAGAAGCTTACTGGAACATCTCTGAAGGTGAAATTTCACCTGTAATCACTTTCTTACTGTATTAGGCTTAGACTTGCGTGTTTTATTTTATTTTGCTTGGTAATTCACTTTTCTCTGTCTGTTATTACTTGGAACCACTTAAAGCCTACTTTTTGTATTTAATAAAATCACTTTTTACTTATTATTTAACCCAGAGTGTGCATTAATAACTTGGGGGGGATATAACAGCTGTGCATATCTCTCTAACAGTGTTATAGAGGGTGAACAATTTATGAGTTTACCCTGTATAAGCTTTATACAGGGTAAAACGGATTTATTTGGGGTTTGGATCCCACTGGGAGTTGGGTATCTGAGTGCTGGAGACAGGAGCACTTCTTAAGCTGTTTTCAGTTAAGCCTGCAGGTTTTGGGGACGTGGTTCAGACCTGGGACTGTGTTTGTAGCAGGCTAGCATGTCTGGCTCAAACCAGGCAGGACATTGAAGCCCCAAGCTGGCAGGGAAAACAGGCTCAGAGGTAGTCTCGGCACATCAAGAGGCAGTCCCAAAGGGGTTTCTGTGACCCAACACGTCACAGTCTTTATTATTCATCATTAATGACAACAATGTGTCATCAGGGAAAGTTATCACAACCCATGTTTTCTGCCTGCCACTTATGTCAGAAGCCTTTTGTCAGAGCATCAAAAATGTATATATGTATATACACGCACACTTATGTAGATCTCTGATGAATCCGGTTGTGCATTTTGTATTGTTTCTCATGCAAATATATCTTCCAGGGTACATATACATATATCTTCCAGGGTACAAATATATCTTCTTTGTCCCTTAGAATGGACATATTTGCCAAATGGTTAGGTCTGCTGCATGCATATAACTCTTTGTGCTGGCTTTCTTTATGACTATTGATATCATTCTGTATTCGAACACAGAGAACTTTGGTTGCAGGCTGAATGTTCTCATACATTGCTACTGTTCTGCACAAACCCACTTCCTGTAAAATTCAGACTTGTTTATTTGGCAAATGATATTTCCTGGTCAGTGGCAGTAGCTCATCCTACTGCATTTACTTGGAACGGAATTTGGATCACTGAGTAGTTTGTTTTCATTTTCACAACAATTTCATCAACTTCATCAATTTCATCAACTATTAACATGAAGCTACAGTCAAAAAGAGGAAACCAGAAGACTTCAGACATTTTTATATAATACCACCGGCTGGAAGGACTGTGCAGAAGATGGAAATATCTGCTTAATCTGAAGAAATATCACAGGTTTGATCTTCAAGTTGACCAGACAATGAAAAAGTTTTGTGTGTGTGTCTGTGTCTGTGAGAGTGAGAGAGAGGGATAGAGAGAGAAAATGAGGATGGGCAAGGGAGGTATTTTAAACTGGCTACAAAGCTTGACAAATGAAAACACTTCTAAGGTAGCAGGAGGAAATACAGGGAAGAAGCCTGTGTCTTTCTGTTTGATATTTGGGTGCCTGAAGTCTGCCTGAGATCTGTTTCCAAAGGGGAGTTGGGAACACATGGGGGTGGTGGGGAATAAAGTTTTGACAGAGAATGCTTGACATTTACAGATGATATAAATTGTTATTCCCAAATGCTGCAACAACCCCAAAGCATCTGGGTGTAATTTTGGGCAGCCTGGAGGCTACAGTGTCCCATGAGAGTCCAGCCGTCCCCCAGACCTGCCCTTGTCCCAAGTTAATGGAGGCACAAAGCCTCCATTATTATATTATATTATAAAGCCACCTTCCTCCCTACTCAATCATTGTGCTGAGATCAGCTTGGTTGCAGAGGTGTCCAGTGTCCTCAAACCTTCTCTGCAGGCACTCAGCACCTCATACGATCAAATGTTGTCTGCATTTAGAAAAGCTTGTGGGGATTTGGTTTAAAATAGTGTATGTGGAATCACTGAAACAGGTGATGAAAATACAATGAACAAGGGAGATTTTAAACAATTCCACCAATTCCTGGGCAGAACAGAACTTTCTCAGTTCATACAGTACCGCCAAGATCCTAATTTTTTGTCTGCTCACATTTTTACAAGAAATATTTTAAGCATTTTCATTAATTTCAGTGGAACTTAGACACATAACCTGCTTAGGTGCTTTTGAAAATCATACTAGGTGGCTATCTGAATCTTTAGGCACTGAAATACATTTAAAAACCTGGATTTTGGTGCCTAAATCATTTCAATGCCAAGAACTTCAAGGGAGAAAGGAGATTCCCTTGGAAACTGCTTTGTGATAATGAAACTTAGGTAGATAATTCTGCATTAGGTATTGAATTCCAAGAGAAGAACTAGGTGGTTGAAAGGGAACATATAAATCAGAATAGACACAGCAGGTTTCTGAGGAATTCTTAGTGTGATTCAAGCTTCCCAGACTCTGCCCTCTGGAGATGCCAGTCACATTAGATTGTGCATATGTCCTGAATATGGCCATGTGTGCTATTTATCTTGCCCGGGATCAATGTCAGACTGACAGGTGTAGAATTACCCAGGTCATCCCATTTAATCTTTAATCTTTCAAAATATTGCCACAACTTTAGCTTCCTTTCAGTCTTCTGGAACTTCCCCAGTGCTCCAAGAATTATTGAAAATCAACATTAATGGACCATGAAAAATCACAAGAACAAACATTGAAGCATTTAAATGTAACATAAGTTTATAAAAAGTGTTCTGTGATTTTACAAGTCCATCTTTTCCATCATTAGAAGGTTTAATTGATCCATGAACAAATTCCCCATAGCCTTGCAGGTTGGAGTGCAGCAGAAATGAATTATTTTACTAAGAAAGTTACTTGTTCTTTTGGTGACTGATTACTAATTTGTTTTCCTTTTCTGTATTTTTCTTTTTTTGTTTGTTTTCAGCAAACCTGGATGTTTACAGAGATCCTCAGAACATCCAGAGAAGGATGTAAGGGCCTCTGAGGAAAAGATAAAGGAGAGGTGGGTTATTCTTGAATTTTGTGCTGATCCTTTTAATCTGGGGGCAGTTACTTTCCTTTTCAATGGGAGGGTGGCAGTTATATTTAGAGTGGGGATTACTGTTTTCCCTACACACGCTGTCATTAGGAATGGCTTATTTTAGATTAAAGAAACAAGAAGAAACAACAGTAAAGCCTACATGAGTGTTGGTTACATACACCACAATCTAATGCAATATATAGCCACCTTTCTGCTGATTGCTCCATTCTCCTTGACTCCAGTGTAGACTTTAACAGTGTGGACCAGACCATCCTCCTGATCTACCTCCATAATTATGTAAGCATCTAAGCTTCCCTTGTGTCCTAATTATTTACAGGACCAACTTATAAAATGCACTCTCTCTGTGTCTGGTGGCAGCTCCTCGCTGTATCAAGGTTCTGTTTTCAGCCCTCTTCTATCTACCTTTTCCCCTTTGACCATCTTGGGCCAAATTGAGACTTGGAGTAACAGCAGGTACATATCTTTTGATACTTAAAATGATTTCTCAGTATCTATCCTCTACCTGCTTTGACTAAATGTATGGCGTTGTCTCTTCTGCCTTCAGTTACTGTCTCAAAGACAAAAAGGCATCCTCCCCAAAACTTCATTTTGTCTTATGCCCTCCTCAACTCAATCTATCCCTTTTGTTTCATTATCTAACATCAGCCAAGGGAGGGGACACCAGTGTAACAGTGTAGGAATCCATGTTTACCTGGATTTGCTATGTACACAATTTTCAGGTTTAAAGTCAAACCAGAGTTTTTAAAAGATGGTATTGTATTGTCTTTGTAGGCCACCTGCCTAGCTACTTTTAGCTATCAATTTACTACAGACATCCTAGCACAATGAGCTTACCTACACTATAGATTCAGCCTTAGTCTGGAACAAAACAAAAGCAAGCAGCCAGTCCAAAAATGAAAATATGAATATATGATTTGTAATGTGAAATGAAATCCTGAGTGGTCTGTCCTTCCTCCACTCACTGCATACAAACGAGTCCACAGTATGGGATTCCCATGACAAAGCCAGAGTGTGATCCTCAAACCAGGTGGAAAAAGGAAGGGCAATGCCTGTCTTGCCTGTGGGAGCGAATTCAGTAGGACTGTCTTAGAATCATAGAATATCAGGGTTGGAAGGAATCTCAGGAGGTCATCTAGTCCAACCCCCTGCTCAAAGCAGGACTATGGAACAGTCTGAGGTGGGTGTCTCTGAGTCTCTCACATTGAAGCCATTCCACTTTTTATTAAATATGCACTGGGCCAGAATGACGCTATAGAGCACTGCATTCACTTTAGACATGGGGAAACCCTGTTCAAATCCCTACTCATCAGACAAAGGGGGAATTGAACTGATTTCTTCTATCTCCTGGGTGACTTCCCTAACCACTGGGCTGAAGGTTATAAGGGAACCATCGACCATTTTGTAGGGAGTTGGGCTGGCAGCGAAGCTGCCTGACTCTAGAAGAGGGTTCCTGGCTGTGGGTTGCAAGCAGAACAAGGTGCCTTCCTGCAGTTCCAGCTTTAGGCACCAAATTCCTTGAGGGGGCAGGACTCAGGACCACTCCCTTCTCAGCAGCGTCTCTCATTGGCTCCTTGCCTAGCATGCTGACTTTAGCCTATCTCTCCCCATGCAGTGTATGGGGAGCTGAGGTGCCTAACCCAGGGTTTGTGGATTCCAGTGATTTTCAAGACGCATAAAGGTCCCTTTATGGATTCAGGCCTTAGACCCCTATCCTGCAATTGAATCCACTAGCACAGACCATTGCATTTTGGTAAAGCCACAATTACAGACAATGGACCTCCATGCAGACACAGCATCCATGCTAGTGTAATGCTGACAGACCTCGGTCGTCGATGAGCAGGATAGAACTAGGGGACCTCTGAAGCTTAGTGCATGAGCCTCTACCGCATGAGCCAAAAGCCTGCTGGCTATTAGCTAGGGCTGTAGAGCAGACTCATTTGATCTCTCTCTCTCTAAGTGCTCTCTGTGCCACTAGAGGTGGCTCTGTGCCAACGAACACTCCAGATAAACAAACCAGCCAGGCTGGCCAGTGGCTTTACCCGAAGGGCTGGGTGACAAAGTTTGCTGACCCCTGCACTAGCAGCTCCAATTGCAGGATCAAGACCTTAGCTTCTAAGCTCTTGTTGTAGGGACATAGAGGAAGAGTTTCAAAGGTACAAATATCAGTTAGGGACCTAGTGCCCATGGACATGAACTGCAATTTATGCCTCTGAAAATCTCCCCCTTTGTCTTCTCTTCATCTGTAATGCCATGCATATGAATGGCACAGTATAAATAAAATAATAATTAAGAAATAAACCACCCTTCAGTTTGCACAGGAACAAAGAAACACATACGAGATGGGATTTGGTCTGGGCTTTCGTGAGTATTAACCAGTTCCATTGATTTTTCAGGAAGAAGCTGTTTAAGATCCCAGTTTTAAAGGAGAAATGTCAGCCTATCAATCACTTGGAAGAACCATGCTGGTATGTGAAGGATAAATCCACAGAGGTTCTAAGGTTTGGTTACTATGTGTCAGAACCAACTTGATAGAGAAACCAGACTTGTAAGCTCATGAGAACAGGCCCTTTTGAGATTGTGAGCAGCACTGTGAGCTGGCAGCAAGTGATCAAAAAGTAGATCATAGAGAAATATAGGTGGGAAGCTTAGGATGGCAAAATCAGATGCACGCACAGAATCTATCTTTGACTGTGGGTCTTCCTCTGCTTTCTTGAATCCCGGCTTGAACAATTGCTAGAAAAACACATACTGCCTCCTAACTAGGTCAGATCATGGTCCATCTTGCCCAGTAGCCTGTTTATGACAATCGCCCATGCCAGAACTTCAGGGGGAGTGTCCAGGACAGGGCAGTATCTTCCACTCCTGGCTTCTGGTAGTCAGAGGTTTAGGATCACCCCGAGCATGGGCTTGTGTCGCCTGGCCTTTTTGGCCAATAACCATTGATAGACCTATTCTCCATGAACGTATCCAGGTCTTTTTTGAATCCAGTTATACTTTTGGACATCATAACTTCCCATGGAAATGAGTTCCACAGGTTAGTTATGCATTATGTGAAAAAGTACATCCTCTGATTAAACTTCCTGCCTATTAATTTCATCAGGTGAAAGCATTCTTCTAAAGCTGGATGAATAAACGGGATAGGGAGGAACAGGGATTTTTCAAGAAATTTTTATACTGATTTTTTTTCAAATTTTCAAAAAAATTGATCAGCTCTGTAGTTGGTAAAAGAATGAAGGAAGTTTAATGAAAATATTCTCAAAATTGTCCATTTTCTTTTTAAAACCAGTTCTAGTGCTATTAAGCTTTGCATACGCTGAAATAACAATTTGGAAATGGTTTGAAAATTGTGAAACTGTAACCATGTGATCCCACATAGTCACAATAAGATACCTCAGTTTACTACAGTGATTCATGTTATACCAGTGGAGTTTTCTAATGTAGAAGAAAAGGTCAAATACCCTGTCTAACTCAGTCACTTTAAATTCCACAACACAGTCTGTCACTCTTAGTGCACATATCAAATTCTATTCTGTTTTGTTCATTGGTTCTTATGACATCCTCATCACAGCTGTATCTGTGTGTCTTCAGTACCACTGACATGGTGTTGGCAGCTAAGCCGACGGTGAATCACTGTCTCTCCCAGTGCTCTCATGTAAATAGTGAAGAGAAGCGGGGATAGTCTGGATCCCAGTGTTTCTCAGGTGACGGCCTTCAGAGAAGAGGAACAGTAACCATCACTCTGAGTTTTGCTTGAATTTAGTAATAGGAACAGCTATAGTGTTAGGCCATCTACTCCTGCTATGTCACGTCAGTGGGTTAGCAGTGGCTTGTGGTCCACTGGGTCTAAAACTGCAGAAAGGTCCAGCAACGTGGGCATGGAAAGCTTACCTGTGTCCATGGTCATCTTTTTAGTGCCACTAGAGCCATCTCTGTGCTGTGCCCTAGTCTGAACCCGGACTATAAGGCATCCAGGATGTTGGCTGATGTCACATGTTGCTGGCACTTTGTTGTTACTACTTTCTGCTTGATTTTGGCCAGAAATGGAAGGTTGAAGACAGGATAATGGTTGGAGGGCATTAGGCACTACTGATAGATTCCTGAGGATTGGGTGAAGTATTGTGCTTTTCATGGATTTTGGCCAGCGTGTTTTCTGAAGAAGGCAATGACTATTTCCACGGGTAGTGAACATAGTTTTTGCTTTCTCTGGCGTTCATCAACCAAGAGGGGTATGGATCCATCTCGCAGGTTGCGGCTCTAATATTTTTCAGGTCTTTTTGATCTTCACCATGTGTGATGGGGTTGAATTCAGTTCAGGGTGGCTGGAGGGATAATATGATCTGGTCAGAAATGGAGATTTCTTTCCCATGTAGTTCCATGCACATTTGGTTGATCTTATCAGCAAAGTTCACTGATGCAGTGGTTAATAGAATTATAGGACTGGAAGAGACCTCAAAAGGTCATCTAGTCCAGTCCCCTGCACTCATGGCAAGACTTGAGTATTATCTAGACCATTCCTGACAGGTGATTGTCTAACCTGCTCTTAAAAATCTCCAATGATGGAGATTCCACAACCTTCCTAGGCAATTTATTCCAGTGCTTATCCACCCTGACAGTTAGGAAGTTTTTCCTAATATCCAACCTAAACCTCCCTTGCTGCAATTTAATCCCATTGCTTCTTGTCATAAGAACATAAGAATGGCCATACTGAGTCAGACCAAAGGTCCATCCGCCCAGTGTCCTGTCTACCGACAGTGGCCAATGCCAGGTGCCTCAGAGATGGTCCTGTCCTCAGAGGTTAAGAAAAACAATTTTTCTCCCTCCTCCTTGTAACAACCTTTTAAGTACTTGAAAATTGTTATCATGTCCCCTCTGAGTCTTTTCTTTTCCAGACTAAACAAACCCAATTCTTTCAATCTTCCCCCATAGATAATGTTTTCTAGACATTTAATCATTTTTGTTGCTCTTCTCTAGACTCTCTCCAATTTGCCAACATCTTCCTGAAATGTGGCATCCAGAACTAGACACAATACTCCAGTTGAAGCCTAATCAGTGTGGAGTAGAACAGAAGAATTACTTCTCGTGTCTTGCTCACAACACTCCTGCTAATACATCCCAGAATTTAGAAAATGTCAGAATGAAACATTTCAACTTTTTCTGAATTTTTTTCCAGCCAAAATATTTTGGCAAATTCAACCCAAATTCGCAAAATGTTCAACCCAAATGAATGCAAAATTCAGGATTTTTCAATGAAAAAAATTGCATCAAAATTTTTTGCCCAGCTCTGGTTGTGCCATCTTCTCCCAAAATTGGCTCTAACTGAATCATAGCCACTTAATTTATGAACTGACACCTGTTTTGTACAAGTCAGTGCTGCAAAGGCAGTATCAGTACTGAAGTACAAGCTGCATTCTCTCTGCCTTGTGCGTCAACAGTCAAACTGTTGACTAAGTTCTGATTCCAGAATTTCTATTGCTGATGAAAATGGAGGTATGTACAAGGCTGCAATAACAGAACTTATTTTCAAAGGCTAAACCTAACTCTCGACTTCAGGAGGACGACCCATGTGCTTAAAGTTAGGCAGATGTGATGAAAAACACTAATGGAGATTAAACATGAAATATCAAGGTATCATGTTCAGAAACTCACTTTTCCGACCATAATAGACTTACATAGCAGTGATTATTGTTATTACTATTTATTATGTGTATTACTGAGTTTTTCTAAATGAGTATTTTTCTATGTTCCTTGCTTAAAGTATGTTTGTAAATAACATGTTTTATTACAAATATTTCAGGGTGAGATGGATGGGACCAAGCAAAAAGGAGAGAATGTCACCTTCTATGGTAAGACAGTTACACAAAAGGCCCTATTCTGGTCTCACTTCTATATTTTGCTCAGCTCAAGTTTTTCAGTAAAGTAAAAGAGAACCCCACAAGCTCTAGGGGATTGAGGCATATTCTGAATATACCTTTAGTTGCCCAAAATTATTTTAGTGGCTCTAGCATGGGTGCAGTTACTGGGGGAATGGCAGTGACATTACCCCTGTAACTTTGTCTTCTGCTGGGGACAACCCTCACAAAGAAAATCCCTTTGCCAGTAGCTGTAAATTTGTCCATATCTCAGGCTGCTACAGCAGCTGCAAACTGTAAATCAAGAACATACCACTTTTGATCAAGAAAGAGATGAGAGTAGAAGCAAGGCAGAGCTTCATTCCAATCCAATGACACTGAGAGTCTGTGTACCAGGCACACCCCATTCCCCAGCTCCCCCAATCATTTGCCAGGCAGATCCGGACAACTTTTTTCAAATTTTAACCCAAAAAATGGAAACAAATGTGTATGAAATGTGTTATCCTGCTTGACCAGCTATATAGAGCTAGGGAAGAACAGGAGGTAATTTATAGGCAAGTCAACCTGATTCACTGTATGCAACACAGCAGAAGTGGGTTTTTAAGAGGGATTTTGATGTGGACAGAGTAAGAATTTTGCAGGTGAGATTAGTAAGATCATAGCATGCGATGGGGGCTACAATAAAGAAAGCACACAGGAGATTGTGCAAGAATCTGAAAAAACAGATTAGGAGCATTAATAGAGTGGAGGAGATGGGGCAAAGCAAGGATATGTAATGAGGTGCAGAGTCCTATAGTAATTTGAAGGTAGAGACAAGAAGCTTAAATGTGATGGTCAAATGTTCAGAGATTTGAACATCTGAAGGAGGAAGTGGTCTGACCAGAACACAAGGGTTTGTTTTTATAGGCCTCGTATTTACATCTGACGTTAGGATCCAGTGCAAAGAGCGTCAGCTCTGTGTGTGGGTCCAGGGGTTATCTGTGTAAAACCAGAGACAGAGGTGTTCCGATTCGACAGTGATGAGTGAGGTATAAGAACCTATTCTGTCAGACAGGGAGCCAACGGCAGACTAGAAAGAGAGAAGTTGCATGATCGAACCAACAGGCAAGGAAGACACATTTAGTGGTAATATTTTGAATGGACTGAAGGGTCTGATGTGTATGTTTGGGAAGCCAGAGAGGAGGAGTTGCAGTAATCAAGGCAGAATACACTGAGGTTCTGAAAGGGAACTTAGGTGTAGGGCTGGAGAGAAAAGGACAGAACTTGAAGGTGCTGAGGAAGAAGAACCAGTTGGATTTGGATCTGGCCTAGATGTGTGAGACAGAGGAGAGAGAGGAGTAAAAAAGCGCCCCCGGACTGCTGGCCTGAGTGACGGTGAGAATGGTGGTGATCCAAAGAGTGATAGGGAAAGGAGGAAGCAGAGAAGGTACGGGAGAGAGGATACGGAGTTTAGGTCATGTTCAGTTTAAAGTGACAAGACATCCCAGAGGACAGAGACAAGCTGGGATGAGGGACTGGATGGATGTTGTTTACTCTGGGACTCTCAGCCTCAGAATTAGGTGTAACTCCTACTCATTTACTTTTATCTGTGCAATGATGTTCTGACTGTCAAACCTGTCCCCATCAACTGCAGATGACGGCAGGAGATCGGAACTCAGAGTCATCCTTGTTGGCAAAACTGGAGCTGGGAAAAGTGCAACAGGAAACTCCATCCTTGGGAAAAGAAAGTTTGAGTCCAAACTCGGGGCAAAGTCAGTAACTTTGACTTGTGAAAAGGGGCAAAGGAGCTGGAATGGGAGGGAGCTTGTGGTTATTGACACACCTGCCATTTTTGACCAAAAGGCTTGTGAGCCAGTAACTTCTAGAGAGATTGTTCGCTGTATCGCGCTCTCTGCCCCTGGCCCCCACGCTCTGCTGCTGGTGACCCAGCTGGGCCGTTACACTGAGGAAGACAAGTACGCAGTGAAGCGAGTACAGGAGATTTTTGGAGTTGAATCCATGAGGCACATGATTGTCCTGTTCACCCGGAAAGAAGATTTAGCGGTCGGCTCACTGCATGACTACGTGAGATACTCAGATAACAAAGATCTGAAGGGGCTGATTCAGAAGTGTGGGGATCGATATTGTGCTTTCAATAACAGAGCAACTGGAGCAGAACAGGCTGAACAGGTTTCTGAGCTGATTGAAATGATCCAGAGAACGGTTCAGGAGAATGGGGGCAGGTATTACGTCAGTGAGGTGTATTTGGAACCTAATTTAACGGAACAAAAAGTGAGGTATCTTACTGGAATAAATAAAAGAACCAGGGTGACCACTCTTTTTACCAAGTATAGGAAAGTTATTTTGGCCTTTGGGGTTCCTGCATTAGTTATTGTATTTCTCCTGATCTACCTCTTCGCTAACAGTCTTCAATAAAGCCTCGTTGCAACCTACTGCGTCCCAAACCCTGCATCTCAGCTTCTCAGGCACCCTCACCCTTATGTTAGTGCAGCACATTCATACAATATGACTAAAGCTATCAGCATTTGTTCTTTATTAATGATATATATTAGAACAATTTAAATATGCTGAACCAGTTTCTACACTCAGTTACTCTGGATTTAGAATGGTTTAACTCCATTAACTTAAGAGTAACCGTATGGATTTACAGTCCTGTATCAGCTCTCAGCCTGCATTTGTAATGGAGTGTTTCCATTAGCTTCCCTGGAATACTCTGCATTGACAGCCAGGTCACTGAGGGAAGAATTAGGCCCTTTGGCTAGAGCTGAGAGATCTATTCAGCTCTCACGTAAATTTATAGTAGCTCAAACTGCAACATCAAACAGGGCAGTCATTTTACTAAAAATAAAATCTCAGGGCAAAGTTCAGACTAGGTGTAAATTGGTGAAACTCGACTGACCTTACTGGAGTTACACCAAGGATTAGCCTGGCCCCATTGCCAAAGCTTCTTTTGATATTTTGAAAAGCAAACTTTAAAACCCACCAAAGATGTGACATGGTGATATGCAGCATTGTTTTTTTCTTTTCTTTAAGATATCCTGTCTAAGCTCCTAAATGCTTAAATCCCATTTGAAAATGAGACTTATGCTCTTAAACCAGTTAGGCATTGCAATGCTGAGAGCAACAAAGCCTAAATGCCTTTAAGAATCTAGCCCTATGTCTACAAGGAAAATTAACCTTACAGAATCAGCCTTGGTTTTTCACACTGTTAAAAGTTACAATGCTAAGATTAAATTACTTTAGCTTACTTACAAAACTGTGATTGTTAAATTAATTTCTCCAAGCAAACCCAGGCTGTGAGTCTGAGTCCCTCAATCCCAACTGCCAAAGGGTCATTGTCCTATAACAGCAACTCCTACTTGGCCTGTCCGCCACATGGCTGTCAGAGTATTTATCTGTAATGAAGGTCATGTGAGAGTCAAATGAAAGCTTATAGCATACTGCATGATGTATGTACAGGAAATAATTAAATTGTGTGTATGTATTAAAATATGTTCAAATCACAGGGTTTGATAAACAGGGTTGACAAACAAGTCTTTCCCCAGCAAAGGAATGTTGATGTACCTGTCTGCCTAGGTCTCTGATGTAAGTCAAGTATTGTGAAGCCAAATGCAATGGCAGGTACATTTGCATCTGAGGTAAACAGGAAGATTAGGTTAGCCGGAGGATGAAGAAAGCACCATGATGTCAGCACACCAGAGAATGAGCTGCGGGTGTGGGGGACGGGACCTTTCTCTGTGGGTACACTGGGAAAAGAATACATTTCAAAGGTTTACTGGATAATAAGAAGGAGGAAGAAAAACTCCTTGGTTATCCTTCACTGAAGAAGCAAAAGAGGACAGTGCTTTTTGCATTCATGAAAGTTGGATCTTGGCCATGTGAGCCAGTGACTTTAGGTGAGAAACTGCTTTACAAAAGATTAACTTGCTGAAGTTAAGTCCTGGTCTTGTAGAAGTGGATTATCTTTTTGCTTTATTTGTAATCAATTATTTCCATTATCCTTACTCAGTATCACTTAAATCTCTAGCTTTGTTAATAAACTTCTTCTTGTTTATCACAAGTACCTCTCTGTGTTGTAATATGAAGCCATGTGTGAATCCTCAGTTGAATCAAACAGGCTGATGTGTATAATGTCTCTTGGGAGCCAGCAAATTGGGTAATTTCGGGGAGTGTCCAGTGGGCACAACAGGGGAATGCTCTTAAAGGGGATTCAGGAACTGGGCTGTACCAAGTGTTACCCACAAGGCCAAGTAAAGGCTAAGGCAGAGGGATAACAACATGACTCATAGTTCTGGGCACCCTGAGAAAGCATCACAGTGCCGTACTGATGGCAGAATTTACACACAGTTGGTGAGCGTCACCCTCCAAGCACTGGTCAACTAGGTACTACAAGATTCACAGATGAGAAAGTTGGAAAGAGACGAAAAAGATTCCAGTTCTGACATTTTCTGTTTGTTTATCTTGAGTGATAGAAACGGAAGAAAAGAAAGTACAAAAATGATCAAGGCCGAGGCAGGCAACCGTGAAACCTCCATGAAGTTAGAGTTGGCCAGACTAGAATTAGAGAAAGCCGACAAGGAGTGTGAGCACCAGAAATGGGAAGCTGAACAGAGAGCCAAAGAGGGGGAGGCAGAAAAGCAATAGCAAATGGAAGCACACCAGAAAGCTCTGGAACTGGAAGACAGGAAGCGTAGGGAGAGGGAAGACCAACACAAAAAGCTGTTGACACACACGCAAAACCCTCAACCTGTAATCAGTCCTTTCCAGAAGCCACCCCGGTGGGACAAAGGGTGCTCTAGTGTAACCCCCACTTGCCTCCCTAGGTTACTCGGGAGCAGGCAACACTCCCCTGTGTCACTGGGCGCCTGATGTTGCTGACAGCAAAGTAGATGCTGGGTATCCAGCATCTAGTGGTGACGTTGGGTAGGTGGGAATCCTCTATCCACCCCTCTGCTGCAGTCCCTTTACTCCTAAAGGAATTTAAAATTGGCAATGCCTCCATCTAGCTGGTTCCTATACACACTCAATGTGTGCCTTGGGAACCTCTAGGAATAAACCCATTCTAATAATAATAATTATAATTAATAATAATCTGTGGCATGAGTGTAACTCAGAAATACCAATTATCAATATACAGCCCATCCACTTAAATTAGAGTTAACACACCTTTACTTCCTTTACTTAACAACTTATGTAAAGAAACAGGGTATAACTGACTAAGATTAAATGTCACTATTAATTTAAATCCACAGGGGACAGTTAAATACAATAAATTAACAAATACAGCATACAGTGGGGTGGATAAAAATCAATGATTTTTAAAAAATCAGATTTTTTGTTATTTAAATCAGATTTCTTGATAAAATGCTCTTTGAGGAAAAAACCTATCTAAAGATAGTTTTAATTAAGATACATTATAGCTCAAAGATATCTCACCCTGGAATAAGAATTATAAATTCTAATTCTATCGTATGAGACAATATATTCATGTAATGTTTAAGAAAAGTTTTGTAAATGAGTTCCAATAGTTCATGGATTAGGGACCCAATCTTATGGGGCTCCACAGGCTTTTATATAGATTATTTAGGTTAATCTTTCTATCTACCCAATAGGACTCAGTGCTCAGTCTAGAAGATACCATTAGCGATGCTTAGTTTTGCCGTTCTCAAACTGTGGATTTGTGTCTCCAGAGGTAACATGCTTGTTAACAGCAAAAATAAATAAATATTTTTAAAATAAATAAATAATATATGGAGGTGAGAAATAACAGACCTCAACTCTATTGTCCCTCTGCAAATTTGTGTGCACAGAGTCAATCCCTTACCTCTCTCGAAAAGTGCAAAGTTTCAAAAAGTTCAATGAATAGAAAATTGTTGGGGGCAGAATAGATCTGGAGAAGAAGAAGTCTGTAAATAAATGGGAGAAGGGAAGGACAGGCAGTAGAAACAAGAGTGAAACTGTTTGACCAGCATTTCAATCTCTGAATTGTGAAGAAAATGTATTAAGGTTATAACAACCAACAAGAATGCACTTTTATGTAGAAATCCATGATTAAACTGAGTCTTCCTAACTAGTGATTTAAAAAATCATGATTTAAATCAATTTGATTTAAATTTACATTGTCACCATTTACCCCACCCCACTAGGGTAACCAGACAGCAAGTGGGAAAAATTGGGAAACGGGGTGGCGGGTAATAGGAGCCTATTTAAGAAAAAGATCCCAAAATCGGGACTGTCCCTATAAACATCTGGTCACCCTACACCCTGCAGTGTACACTCCTCTGGATTGCAGAGTCCTAGGCCCTTGCTTGCATGGGCGCGCTTGGAGAGCGGAAGCTGGAGATAGCACTGTGCAGGTTCTGTGGATCAGTCCAGCCAAGGCAACCAGCTGCACAACCCCTCTGATGACTGGAGCTGGCCCCACCAAATGTCTGAGGCTCTGGGTCCTGGGTCAATGGGAAGATCAGTCTGCCTCTCCTCAGACTCAGTCTCCGTCAGGGCTGAGCAACAACAGTAGGCCCAAGCCTCCAAAAGGCCTTCGAGAGGGGGAGACAGCCACCCGCGAGGTGGGTGGCAGGGGGGACGCAGACCTTCCCACTCCACTGCGTCCCGGCCCGGGGCCCTAGCAGCAGCAGGAGACCCACGGCTGTGTCAGTGGGGATCCTGGCCGCAACACACGGACATGGGCTCTGGCACTGCTGCAGCCAGACTAGGGTTGGCTGCCCCTGGGCTACTTCCAGATTCCCCTTCTTGTGGTAACTGGGTGGGGGTGGTGTCCTCCAGGGGGTCCAGCACAGTAGGCTCCTTCGGGTAGCTGGTGCAGGGCAGGCCTAGCAACTCCTCCTGGTAGCTGGCGCGGGGCAGGTCAGGTCAGGCCAGTCATTGGGTGTACCGCGGGCCAGTGGGGCTTCCCAGTTGCGGCCTAGGCCAGAGGCATCTGGCCTCTCCAGCAACTGTTTCCCCAGTGAGCTCTGAGGTCGAGCCTTTGTACTTCCAGGGCACAGCCTGACCCTCTAGGGGGCGGTCTCAGAGCTCACTAGCTCCGCCCACTCTGATGTCCGGAGCGGTTTGTCTCTCTCAGGGGCAGCGGGGAACCCCACCGCCTCACTACACACACACACCCTCAAGTCTGGCTCCCGTTCATCGGGGCCAGGCACTTCCATCCCTCCTGGATGGGACAGGAAGTCTGCATTTGCATGGTCAGCCCTATGCCGGATGGTGAAAGCATAGGGCTGTAAGGCCAGGTACCAGCACAGTAGTCTAGTGTTGTTGTTTTTCATTTTCATTAACCATTGTAGTGGAGCAAGGTCCCTTACTAGTGTAAACGGGGCCTCGAGGAGGAAGTACCATAGGGTGTCACAGGCCCACTTCATGGTGAGTGCTTCTTTCTCTATTACCACGTAGTTCTTCTCACAGGGGAATAATTTTCATCTGAGGTATAGGACTGGGTGGTCTTCTCTGTCAACTTCTTGGGAGAGGACGGCTCCAAGCCCCACCTCTGAGGCATCCATGTGGAGGATGAACTCATGGTCAAAGTCCGGGCTTTATAGGACTGCCTCCCAACAGAGACACTCCTTGAGTGTCTGGAAGGCGTCTTCACATTCTTGGGGCCACGGTACCAGCCAGGGACTGTCCTTAGTCAAAAGCCCTGTCAAGGGGGCTGCAATTGAAGCAAACTGGGGGATGAATCTCCTGTAATAGCCAGCGAGACCCAGGAATTGTCACAATGGCGTTTCGTGGTGGGTGGCAGGCAGGCTGCCAGTGCGTGAACCTTCCGCACAAGGGGTTTCACTCATCCTCCCCCTATGGTGTATCTGAGGTACGTTGACTCTTGCCAGCAAATGCAACACTTTTTTGGGTTGGCCATTAGTCCTGCCTGTCACAGGGATCTCAGGACTGCAGCTACACATTCCAGGTGGTCCTCCCACTAGCAGCTCTAAACTACGACATCGTCCAGATATGCTGCCGCATAGTCTTGATGAGGCTGTAAAAGGCGATCCATTAGTCATTGGAATGTTGCCGGGGCCCCATGGAGGCCGAAGGGCATCTGGCTAAACTGGTAGAGTCCCATTCGGATGGCAAATGCTGTCTTCTCCTTAGAGGTGTGGTCGAGCGGGATCTGCCAGTACCCCTTACTGAGGTCAAGGGTGGAGATGAAATGGGCCTCCCCTAGGCGGCCAAGCAGTTCATCCACATGAGGCATAGGATAAGCATCAAACTGTGAGATGGCATTGACCCACCGGAATTCTATACAAAAACACTGTGTGCCGTCGGGTTGGGCACCAAGACCACCGGACTGCGTCACTCACTCTGCGACGGCTCAATGACTCCTAAGGCCAACATGGCTTCTACTTCCTCCTTGACCTCCTGCTGCATTCGGTGCGGCAGCAGCCTGGTCGTCTCCCGGATTACCTTCCCCGGTTCGGTCTGGATGGAATGATGGACCAGGGTCGTGTAACCAGGTAGGGCCGTAAAGATCCTCCCGAAAGCCTGTAGGAGGCATTGGGCTTGCTTTTGCTGCTCCTCCATGAGCGTGTCGCCGAGCTGGGGCCCAGCGGGGTCCTCTGTCGGGGGCACGCGGAGGCCTAACTCTGGTTCCGGTGGGTAAGGGTTAATTAGTAGGCCCTCCCGCTCCCACCATTGTTTCAATAAATTCACGTGATAGAGCTGGGTCTTCTTGCACCGATCGGGCTGGTGGACCTCATAGGTAATGGGCCTGACCTTCCAGACCACCTCATAGGGTCCCTGCCAATGGGCCAGCAGCTTCGACTCACTCAACGGTAGGAGGAGCAGGACCCAATCTCCTAGTTCAAAGGCACTCATCTGCGCTTCCTGGTTGTAGGTTCATTCCTGGGCTTCTTGCCTGGCCTTTAAGTTTTCGCGGGCTAAGGCTCCGGCCTGAGTGAGGTGCTCCTGCAGCTGGAGAACATACTTCAGGAGGCCCTTGGTTGGGGATGGAGACTGCTCCCATGTCTCCCGCTTTAAGTCTAACAGGCCCCATAGGCAGCGACCATATAGCAACTCGAACGGGGAGGCCTTTGTTGATGACTGGGGTACCTC